TCATTGCCAGCCAATCTTAGATATTTCTTTTTCTTTTTTTGAGGCAGGGTCTTGCTCTGTTGTTCAGGCTGTAGCGCGGTGGTGCAGTTTTGGCTCACTGCAACCTCCCTCTCCTGGGTTCAAGGGATTGTGGTGCCTCAGTCACCTGAGTAGCTGGGACTACAGGCACGCGCCACCACACTCAGCTAATTTTTGTACTTTTAGTACAGATGGGGTTTCGCCATATTGGCCAGGCTGGTCTCGAACTTCTGGCCTCATGTGATCCACCAGCCTCAGCCTCCCAAAGTACTGAGATTACAGGGGTGAGTCACTGTACCTGGCCTTGTTTTAGTTTTATTTGTTTACTTATTTATTTGACATGTTGCCTTTAATGAGGATAACCACTGACAAATATTTTGGGTTTTCCCTATTTTTTTTTAGTAAACATTTTCTTGAGTTTTGTGATTATGTGGAAGGTAAAGAGCAAAAGTGATTATCATAACTGATGAGCCAACACCTTCAAAAAATATTTCTTTATGACTTTTTATTATGGAATTTCTACAAAAGTAGAATCATCAGTGGACCACACATGCCCATCACCAGCGTCAACAACTGTGAACCTCCTGCCAATCAGGTTTCATCCACCCTCCCTTCTAGTTTTTTCCTTGATTACTTTAAAGCTGTCAGAGATTTATCACTGCACACCTGAATATTTAGATATTTACCTCTTAACAGATAAGAACCTTTAAAAGTTCACATTTTTTCATCTAACAAAATTAGTTTTTAAATATCATCTAATATCCAGTCCTTTTTCAGATTTCCCCAGCTATTTAAAAAAGGTGTTCTAGTGATTGGTTGAAAACATTTGACTGGAAATAGTGGATATTTTTTGACTTGATAAATAGTGTGGACCTCCCCTTTTCCCTCAGATTATGCTGTTGCTCCACTCAGTGACATAATTTCGAGTTTAAAGAAAGAACTGTGTGGTAGATAAATAGCAAAGCAACCGCTGATTAAGAAATGTATTGAGAAGCAATTTTGTAAACTTTTTTATCACGGAAAATTTGCAAACTTGCACAGCAGCAAAGAACATAGCCAAAGCAAAACAGCTCATGGTTAACTAGCCTGCTGGCTCCCAATTTGCATATGTTGTTAAAGCCAGATATTGCATTACAGAACTCTCCTTATGGGTCCCTGCTGTAATTACGTATTTTCAGTACCGAAACAGCCTTCCTTGGAGTTAGCAGAGGCCCTGGCGTTCGAATCTGAAAAGTTAGTGACTTGTTCAAGGTTGCTGACCCGAGACAATGGTTATTGTTGGTGCCAGGGATTTACTCTGGTCTTCCTGGTTCTCATGACGCAGACCACGGCCTCAGAGTGGCCCAATTGTCCTGGTCAAATCAATGCCAGTTTTGTGCAAGGCATAAAAATGTGTTTCTTTTTTTGGTGGGGGGCGGTGGGGAACCATGTTTCATTCTTGTCGCCCAGGCTGGAATGCAGTGGCGCGATCTTGGCTCACTGCAACCTCTGCCTCCTGGGTTCAAGCAATTCTCCCACCTCAGCCTCCTGAGTTGCTGGGATTATAGGCCTGCGCCACCATGCCTGGCTAATTTTTGTATTTTTAGTAGAAACAGGTTTCACCATGTTGACCAGGCTGGCCTTGACCTCCTGACCTCAGGTGATCTACCCTCCTCAGCCTCCCAAGGTGCTGGGATTCAGGTGTGAGCCACCGCCAGGCCCAGCCTAAAATGTTTCTTTTGTTGACATTATGGGGTGTTGAGATTGGAGAGATACAGGGGGCTTGTTTTTCCACATGGTGCGGGTGTAACCATCTCTGGGGAGCAGGCACTGAAGAGTTTGTGTTCTGTTCACAAGCCCCAGGCAGTGGAGAGTGGTCTCGGGGAGGGAGCAACTGGCCACCTGGTTCTTCCACTGGAGAGGAAGAAGAGACGTAGGAGTCCGGATCAGAGCTCTGCCAAGTGCTCTGACAGCCCAGCTGTAGCTTACAGGAGGGTTTTGTATACACCTACCTCTCCACCTATGCTCCACCCTTCTGATTGGAAACCAGCAGCTACTCATTAACTGCAAAGGATTGTCATGAGGCATAATTGCGGAGCACGTGGACTCTCAGAGCATGCAGTATTCCAGTTCTCCGCGGCATAAAGCCTTGCTCTTCACCCCCTCATAGCGTCAGGCAATGACCAGGTTTGTAGCCTAAGTCTGTATCGTGTGTCCCAGTGGAAGATGAAATGGCTTCCCGGATTGTGGGGTGTGTGTGTGTGTGTGTGTGTGTGTGTGTGTGTGTGTGTGTGTATCTAGGAGACACTGGGGTTTCGTGGGTCCTAGGAATGATGGTGTAGGTGGGGGACAAAGGCAGAGATGGAAGATAAATGTGAGTGGACAGGCAGGGAGGAAGGCATAGCCCTGCCGAGCTCAGGGAGACCCATGGCAGCAGAGGAGCATTCTGCGTTAGCACATATTTGAAGAATTAAGAGATGGCTCAGATTGTACATGGTAACTTTTGGGACTGAAAAAAATGTTCCGTATCTTTGACAGATTTTTAGATTTTTGTTTTGTTTTGTTTTTGAGATAGAGTTTCATTTTTGTCATGTAGGCTGGAGTGTAATGGTGCAATCATGGCTCACTGCAACTTCCACCTCCCATGTTCAAGTGACTCTCTTGCTTCAGCCTCCTGAGTAGCTGGGATTACAGGCGCCCACCATCATGCCCAGCTAATTTTTGTATTTTTAGTAGAGATGGGGTTTTGCCATGTTGGCCAAGCTGGTCTTGAACTCTTGACCTCAGGTGATCCGCCTGCCTTGGCCTCCCAAAGTGTTAGGATTACAGGTGTAAGCGTTGTGTGTGTGTTTTGAGGACAGAGAGAGTGCAAGAGTGTGATGTTGGGGATGGGTGTGTGGCTGGCAGGGAAGGCAGCCTGGACTGGGGTTGGTAGAATACCTAAGCTCGATGCTTTGAGCAGGCCAATTTACTTGTTAGGCTCTTACATTTTCTCCTAGAAAATAAAAAAATTGGTCAACGTATCTCCATGTCCCTGAGCACAAAGACCGTGCTATTTAGTTCTGTGGGCTAGGAGTCTGGGTTGGGTGGTGGTACCCTGGGGTGTTGTTGGGGGGTTTTGACCTTGGGGCACTGCTCTCTGTCCCCGGCTTGGGCCCCTGCCTCATGCCTGGCCCGTGGTCCTCTAGCCGGTGGCACACTGCTAGAGCATGAAGGTGAGAGTGGAGGAGGACAGGGAGGAATGTGGGCGCACCCTCCTGGCTAAGGCTGGCAGGAAGAGCCTGGCTTCTGTGGTGTTGCTGCAGCAACAGGAAGGATTTGATTTAGGATGCTTGGTTCCCGCAGGCCTGCTGTGTGCAACTGGCAGGCCCTGTAAGCTGCTTATAATTGTGAAAGAATGGAAGTGTAGGGAGGGAGACATCAGCCGGCTGACTAGCCTAGGCATGCTGACTCAGGCTAAGTAATGCCCTGTGAAAACACAAGACCCGAGACCCTCCTCCTGCCAGTGTTTTTTTTTTTTTTTTTTTTTTTTTTTTTTTTTT